TTGGGGGGACATCTGAATACAAGCCATAGCGCCACCCTCCTCCATTTAGAAGAGGTACAGAAAGCACCACTATAAACCTTTCCATAATTTGGAAAAAAGTCAGGTAAGATGAGATAACCGTTTTGTAGACACTGGCAAAAATGAAATGAGAAAATATGCAAATGTGAAAATAATTATATTTGAAGCCAGTGTGAGTGGTTTTAACATCTGTAAAAAGAGGCAGCATGACCTGTGTGAAATACTGGGGGCTGAAACTGCTTCCACAGATTAGGCTTTCGGGGCAACATTTCCTGAACAGATAAGAAGGTGGTCTCCCAGGGGAAAAAAGCCATTTATATAAGCAAATTTTTTTGGTTCTGCAAGTTGAGGCTATGAAAAGCTCTTGTTGACCTCCAACAGACCTGGGTATGTTTTGTTTGTTTGTTTGTGCATTCCTGCCAAGTACTCTACCACTGAGCTTACATCCCAGCTCTAGCTTTGGCTCTAGCTGTCTTATTTAGAATAGGAATTATGCTAGAAGGCTGTGGATGAAAGACTGGTGGACTCATTTTGCAGAGAAAACAAAGTTCACAGCTTCTAGTAACTGTGATGAAATGTGATTTCTGGGTGATCACGTTCTCCAAAAGTCAGAACAGAGCACTTGGAGAGAAAACCTGGCTCCTTTAGGAGGAAGCCAGTAGCTTGTAATGGGAATCCTGCAGATAAGATGAGGGCTCTCCTGGGATGGAGACAGATGTATAGGTCATTCTTCCAATAAAAGGAGGTAAAGCAAGAAATCTGCCCCCCTTGGATGCTGTCAAGACACTAGACCTTTGTCACCCAGCTCAAGTTCTGCATCTTCCGTGTACCTGGTTTACTCAGCTCTAAAACAGGAATGGAAAGAGCCTGTTTTCTGGCCTACAGTAAGTGATATAAGCATTTGCTTTTGAACAGGTTTGCTCACTTGTCATTTTCCCCATTAATTCCTTTTCTGTGCTTTCTTTCAGAGTGACACTTTGATCTTGCCAGTCACAGTTTTGCCCCCTTCTTTCATTTCTTAGGACATCCCTAAACCCTATGATATGGGTTGGCATCTTCCCAAGGAGTGCGTGGGACAGGAGTTTGCAGGGTGTCCAGGTCCCAGTTCTTGCCTGCTCTTGGGTAGTCAGACTCACTTCATTTTTTTCATATTTTCTCTTTTCATCTCACACTTGAACTTCTCAACACTTTCTGTGCCCTTTAACTTTCAGTGAGGATATTGAACAAGGTGAACCTGTTCCCTTGAACACTTCTTGCCGTCTTCTCATCCCAGCTTTTAACTGAGATATAGAGGTGCTTTTGATTCCCTTACTGAAGTAAATGAAAATCATTTACCTTCCTGTGGGTGACTCACTTGTTATCTCATATGTCTTTCGCCTGTGGTACCCCATACTTTTTCTACTCTCAGTTTCACTCATTTGCCCTCTCTTTTTAATTTTCTAGAAGACAAGTAATTACATAGCTTTAGAAATGTGTTCCTGGGAAGACTCGGAAACCTCCTCCCAAGCCATTTTCTTTTTTCATCCTAATGTTCTGAATAGAACATGTCATTGACTGGTTTCACTGATCTGTCTCATTGGTTGATTGAGCTGTGTGTTCAGTTTCAAGAGAAAATATAACTTTGTGATCTACTTGAGGCAAGAACCAAGTTCTCAGGAGATGGAAAATTGCAATAATATTTTAAGGTTCCAGTATGATACTCACACGTGTGTATGCTCGTACATTTGTTTTCATTCTAGAAACTTTTAAAAGTGAAATGATTCAATTACATTTTATTTCTTTTATTATTATTTGCCTTTCATTAATCTGACTTCAGTAGAAACACCATATTATATACAAGACTCTTCCTTTCTTCTCTGAATCTCTTGTTGTGCTGTTGCTGTTTCTGGGGGTTGCCAAGATTGTGATTCCAAAACAATAATTCATTCCCCAAAGCATGAAAACTATAGAAATATCTTTGATTAGAGTTTTTCTCCCTCTCTTGGAGTCAATATTCTCTGGCTACCTTTTTATTTTCTCAACAGATACCAGTTGTGCTAGTGTTTTGCATTTATTTTATGCATGTATTAACTATATTGTTTCCCTTTTTAAATAAATCACAGCATCCTCTATATGGCTTCCCTTTTCTCACCCCACAATACATCTTGAAGTTCTTTATCTATACTGTATAGAATGTTGGCCTTTCTTTTTTTAAAGTACAGACTATTCCAGTAATTGAATATGTACCCTACTTTATTTAAGTACTATTTCTGATAGATTTTAAGATGAGGTTTCTGAGTAAGATAAGTAGAATCTATGCTAATACAGTGCAGTTTAGACAAAGACAGAGACTGAGTATACTCTAGGGTTGTTGTGTGAAGATTTTTGTATAATATGAAAGAAAAAAATATTGCATTGGTCTTCAGCCAGGTATCCAGCTTTACATATATACTCTTTGGTAGTTCTAGAAGAAGCAAGGAAGAGCATTGTGTGTATTTTTATAAATTATTTTTAAGATACTGGAACCTCTATTTAGGAATTTTTTTTTTAAAGATTATTGTAACTCTAGCTAGATATATCTAAATTCAGTAAAAGGAGATAATGAATTTGTATCCAAAATCTAGAATGGGATTTGAAATGTGTATTATTGGGCAAATCTTTCGGAGCAATAAATAACCCTGTTTTTGCTTCATCTGTCCTTATTTAATAGATGCCTTTGAAAGCTAGATTTGAGGTGAAAGGGAGGCAGGACTATAACTTTCTTGAGGAAAAGAGGCTGATACCTCTTCGCTCATAAATTTTGTTTAATTGACTGGAAAGCATGATCAAAGAATTTCAAAATGTGGTAAAGACAGCCATAGTGCCATATTGATGTATACATTATACAGAAGTGTATATACAGAGCATTAATATGATGTGATGTTTGAACCAGCAGAATATTGGAAGATGAAAGTCATAATTTAGTAAAGAATTTTCAGCTATAAAGTTCGCTTTATGCTTCTTTTTGAAGTACTGTTTTAAATGATGTTGGAAATCTTATTTGTAGCTAAACATAAATCTGGAAGTATAAATATTTCTGGTGGGTGAATTTGACCTGTTTGTAAAATTGTTAAGTAGCTAATAAACAAAGACTGTTGTTGTGAGTCTAAAGAGGAGAAAGTGACCTTGTGTAAGGGGGTAACATCCCAATGGCCCTTTTCATTGAACCCTGAGAGAGCAGGAGGGTGGGAAAAGTCACTTCTGCGTTTGAAGCTACTGGGAGAGTTTCTTCTTTCTTTTCCAAACATACTTTTTGTTGTTTATTTGATGATTCCTTTGGCAGTTAGGTTAAATATTCGTTGAATTAATACTAAATTATATTAGCCAGGCATGGTTTCCATTCATTCAACTTTTTTGAAAAATGGCCTGTAGAAACAGTCTTAATTCTTTAAGTTTATATTACAGCTTTCAAATTGTAGAATTAAGCTTATAGAAAGTTAGGACTGACAACTTTGACAGTTTATTTCTTTGAGAACCAATGAAAAGTTCAAATGACTAATGATGATGATGTGGATATAGCAATCGCTGTTTTCACAGTGTTCAGGGCACTTCATATTCACTAGTATACAGTATTGTCTTAACCCTAAATTAGAATCCTTCATGAAATAATCTATTCAGTTCTCATGATAACTGCTTTAGAATGAGAAGTTGGGAGACAGGGACCTAACATTGGAGTTAGAGCCATTTTGTTTTTGGCTGTTGGTCTTTAGTTTCCTAAAGTTAGGTTTTTTGGAGAAGAGTGTGAATCTTTTTGTTTTGTTTTGTTTTTGGTCTTTTTGAGACAGAGTTTCACTATGTAGTTCAGGTTTTTCAGAAGCTCATTTTGTAGCCCCTGCTGGTCTTGAACTTGCAACAATCCTCCTGTCTCAACCTCCTGAGTGCTGCGATTACAGGCGTATGCCTCCACACCCAGCTGAAGGGTATGAATCTTATTCAACATCCATGAGCTGTTTTGTGATGACATATCTGCCTGATGGAATTTACTATGAAATTTTCATCTTGGTTCTCTGTGAGAAAAATAGAAGGCACTAGATTTAGTATCAGTGCCCAAGAGTGACTATTAATAGACCTCTTACCTTTAGATTCTTGGTTTGAGCTCTTCCCTGAAAGGAGTTTTTCTTAAGAACAATTGATTTAATATAGACTTTTTTCCTTGGAACTAGTGGGCTCGATTCCAAATTCGTTCTTTCCATAACCAGTGCTCCTTGAAACTTTTGCTGTTTATTATATGCAGATTTCTAGTAATTTTCAAAGTCACTCAGCTGTGATGCTAGTTTATCGTGAGACATGATTGCAATTATGGAGCAGGATGTGATGGGGTAGGCAGAACCCACTAAAAAGACATTCCTACAGAAACGACTTTTATGTGACATAACCAGAGCAGAGCACAAACAGTTCAAAATGAGCAATTCCTTCAAGCTAAGTTACCAAATTTGCTGGAGAAATTGCTTGTCTCTCTTCTGCTTCTAATCAGTGGTACCATGTTTAGTAGTTGCTTTTAGCTGTAAGGTTTGACTTTAAGTTGAAGGTTACTCTTTGCTTGGGGTTGGACGAATTATGTCATGGTTTTTGCTGACACCTGAACTCACGGTCCCCAGTTCAAGTGCTGCCACATTCCTTAGTTTCACAGGTACTCTTAGGAAAGACAGACATGTGGTCCCTCTTCCAGTATATCTGGCTCCATTGTAATCTTTCCTAGTGTCCCTCCTTCCTCATTTTCAAGTGGAAGTGTTTCCTTTTTTTTAAACCTCCACTTTATTTTAAACTTATGTTCTTACTACTTTGTAATTCAAATATTTGTATCTGCCAGAAGACCATCAACTCCTTAGCAATGTCTTCCATATGATGACCGTTCTTTTTTAACATTTAAAAGAAAATACTTGTTTGTCTTAGCGATGCTCTCTCTTATTTTTTTTCTTCTGTTTCTTTGTTGGTAACTATTGTCTTGGTTCTTTCTAACACAGGTCTGCAGACTCCTGTTCCAGAAGTCATTGTTGATGTGGAATCCATGGATATCTTCCCAGTGGGCTGGTGTGAAGCAAATTCTTACCCCTTGACTATACCGCACAAAGCAGTCTGTAAGTTTTGCCAGTGAATGATACACAATTTTATTTTTTAAATATGATGTAAAAAGCAAATGTTATAGATGTCCAATTATTTTTAATGTCTCAGTTGTCCTTTAATAATCTGCATGATATGAACATTTGGATGAATTTCACAGGATAAATAAGGAGGCAACTGAAGATCACAGAAATGCAGAGGAAAAATAAAGACCAGACATTTCCCCTCCTACTTTTGAATGCAACTTATTATTTTGCTTGGAAAAATGTTAATTTTTTATATTTTTATATCCAGATTTCTTAGAAAAAACTAACTTTTGTCATGCATTTTCCTCTAAGAGAATCATAATTTGGTTCCAATAGCTTACAATTTATAACTACAGTGCTGAATATACTGTTAGTGCCACCTAACCAGTGAAATTTTGACTGTATTTTAAAAAGTGTACCCACTCACCTCCTTTTGACCAGAGAAACCAAATACAACCAATGTTAGTACTTTAACAATCCAGTTGTGCACATACACATACCCACGCTCATGCACATTTCAACACAACCAACACTGGCTTTGGCAGATGTTGTTTTAGGTCATCATCATCACATGGTACTGCTTTCAGATCTTCAAACCTAAGAAATCTTTACATTTATTACTTCATGCTACTGTGTAGCAAAGGGATCACTTAAAAATTTATGAGTTCTTAAAGATAATGGATTTTAACTGTGTAGTAAAGCAATTATAATCCTAGTATTTTCTTTATGGAATTTCCCTTTAGCTTTACTTCTCGTATCCAGTTTTGCAGTGGGCTTCTATGCATTCTCAAGACATTGCCAAAAACAAAGTCCCATCACTTCACTGACATCACATCCCCTGATGCCTGCAGATTTTGAAGGCTCCCTCGGTTCAGTATTCACAGAGAACACTCTGAGCCTTATACTTGATTATTGGCTACTCTGGCTGAGGTTAAGAATTTGCTTATTTAAATGGTGACAATGGAAGATGTCCTTAGGATTTAAACAATTATTCTATATTCACAGTTTTAGAAACACTTTAAAGTGAGGAGAAAGTGTGACTCCAGCTGGTTCAGTCTCCTTGAGTGCTGTCTTCCCTGGGAGCTATCGCAGGACCATAGGAAGCTCAGTCCCCTTTTCCTTGTCTCGAATGGCACCAAGTATCCAATATCCCCTTCACTTCTCCTTCACATGAATATGGGAGGCCACACATTTTTTCTTCTTCTGTAGCACAACCACGTGTTGCAAAAGTGAATGTGGTCCTGCTTGCTCTTGATTCCGCGCTTTGCTTCTCAGCTGCTGTGCCTGACTCCTTGCCTAAGTTCCATACAGTTCGGCCTCTGCCCTGTGTACTGGACAGAGTTAGACAAGTTCTTCTTCCCTCTTTTTCCACGCTGGAGTTCATAAAAGTTTATAGATTTTTTATAGTAACAACTAGAAAGGAAGTCAGAACAGGTAGAATTTTATTGAGTATTTCTCTTATTCTTTCCTACTCCTTTCTTGCTTGTATGTTTCACTTTAAGGAGACAAACACTCATTCTCTCCTGCCAGATGCTAACAGCTTTAGAAGTTCTTGGTGGAATTAATTTATGTGCTTATTCTGGAAGAAACTAAATTATCTGAGCCAACATGAATTGGTTTCAAAAGCTCTGGGCTCTTCATTAAGGTGATTGTAATCAGTTAGAACTATAAACTGACCACTTTCCTGTAAAAAAAAAAAAAAAATCATTGCTTGCCAGTTTATGTCAGTATTTAACCAGGCCTATCTGAGCTTCTAGTTCTCCTTCCAGTAATGTAGTGTTTGACCATAAATGCATGCTTCATGCTAAGTTTGGGGTAAACGATTAGGGTAGCATTATTTGTCTTACTGCAATTTCTGTGAAGAAAATTATTCTAGACCATTGTGCTTAAAACAACTTATCTTAACATGTTTATGTGAGGTACAATATATGCATTCCTTTTCTTTCTTATGAAAGACACATTGTAAAATACAGTAGCCACTATAGTGATGAGACTAAATGTACTAAGTTCTAATAAGATCTTATTTCTGATGAATCTGTATTTGTTTTATGTTAGAAGAAATCGATGTGAAATTATAGTTTGACTGAAACAACTTTTCAGTATTTAAATTGTTTTTACATTGACATTTGCCAGCTGGTGGAATGTGAGCGTGATCCCAGCAGAGGGATCACCAGTTTGAGCCCAGCGTGGGCAACCTAGTGACTTAGAGAGGCTCTAAGTCAAAATCAAAATAGAAATGGCTGGGGGTACAGCTCAGTACATATGTCCTAGGTTCCATCCCCACTACCACACCCCCCAAAAAGCATTCACCTGATAACAATATGTTTGTTTTTTTCCTTCTTGCCTGTCTTACAGCACAAAAGAAGAGAAAGATTGCAGTTGTACAGCCAGAAAAACAGTATGTTGATTTATTTTGTTCCTCCCAAACTGCATGATAAACTATAATATGTGTTTCTAGTATTCTAATACAAGTGACAAGAAAATGTCACTACTGTTTTTTAGTGAACCTACTATGTGCAAAAATTCTGTGTCTGCTCCCTAAAGGACCTACCATCCACACAGTGGTTTCTGATGTTTTATTTCATCTTAGAATTGAAGAATCCCCAGCTCACTCTGCTGGAAGTGGTGCCCTGTGATAGTGACTCTTGGTGCTCCCAATGGCCCTGCATGACAAGTGTAATTCAGTTGTCTTGGCCCTATGCTTATGCCTGAATTTTCTTCCCACCTTTGAGCCATGGCCTCACCTGGAAGCAAAGGCTTCTATCTCATCCCTATTCGGCCACTTCCCAGCGAGTTAATTTGAGGAAGTTACTTTAGATTTTGCATCTTCATGCCCTGATTTATAAAATGACTTTCTTAAGGGTTCATGAAGATCAAACTAGATTCCACGTTGGAAAAAAACAAAAACAAAAATGTGGGCATTGAATTGTTGAGTAAAAGCAGCCCTCCCACCCCCCATTTCAATAGACATTTCATGAGAATAGAAAATTTAGGGAAATGGGTGCAACTGCAGGTCATATGTGTTTGAAAACTTTTAACTGCTGGTGCAACTCTTACATGGTGCAAAATATTTAAAATATTGGAATCCACATTTATATCAATGAGTTGTGTTTTCCTAAGTAAATAAAAATACATGGTTAGAAAGCTGAGTGAAAACAAACATTTTTTGTGAACTCTAATGACAATGAATTGAACAATAGCCATATTTATTTCTTAAATGCAAAAATAGCAGGTTCATAGCTTGACTCTCCCATCTCTACATAACGCCAAGTAGAGAGCACATAGCTTGACTAATAGACCTGCAGCAGGATCCAAATCCCCAGTACGTGGGTCAATGGGTTATGACTCTTTTGCTTCTATCAGTCACAGGGAGAGAAGATAAAAACAAATTGCTGGCCCCACTCAGTACTTCTACTTCAGGATGTCTGGGGTGTGGCCTGAGAACCTGTATTCCTAGCAAGTTTCTGACTGATATCAGCATTGTGCCTCTGGGGATCACACTCTGAGAACCACTACTCTTTTATTTATTTGTTTGTTTGTTTGTTTGTTTTAAAGAGATTAAAACGAAACAATAAACATGATAAAGATTTCAAAACAAGATGATAAGAAATTAACTATGGTCACTATATAGTATGTTAGCTTCTAAGTAATTGCTAAGATTACAAGATACAGGCATGCAAAACAGATCAAACAATATAAGCATTCAGTTGAAAACCGCAACTCTAGGTGAGCCTTCTAACTCTCTTCCAAGGATGTCCTTTAAACGTAGGCAACTTTTCAGCTGTATACTTTTATGCAGCTAGCCTGGGGAGCCCTGTGAAGCCCAACCCACCATTTCCCCTCAAAGGCTACATTAAAAAAATATATTTAGCAACTCTTTATACTGAACTGTAACTGAGAATAAGTTAGAATAAGTGTACTTCACATTTTAAGACTCATCAGTTAACAGGATTTTTTCCTAAGGTCTTTTTAGTGTGGTCACAACATACACAGGCACAGAGGTTAGAATTCCCAGGTTAGTGGAAAGTGGTTTTCATTTAGACATTGCAATGGAAAAGTCTGGCATTAATTACATGTCTATAAATGTTGCCTTATGTTTAAAATGAAACTGAAGGCATTATCACAATTCTGTAGTAGTAAACCAAGCTGAGTGAGCAGTAACCTATTAGAGAATCATTAAACTATACTACTGTGTACACCTATAATTTTAGCTATTTGGGAAACTGAGTCAGAGATTTCCATGTTCAAGGCCAGCCCAAACAACTTAGTGAGACACTATCTCAAAAATAAAAGGAGCGGGGATGTAGCCCAGTGGTCCAGCACCCTTGGGTTCTAGTCCCAGTTTTGCAGTGGAGAAAAACCTCATTGATCTCCGATGGTTTCTCAGCGCCCATGCCATAGGCTTGTTAAGGTTCTCGGAAGGACTTGAGAACTTTCTGAAAGGATCCTTGTGTCTAGTCTTGCTGTGCTGCTGCCATGCCCACATCCCATCTCACAATGCTCTTAGATTTCTGGAGTAGTCACTTTGAATTATGGAAACTGTGCTCCTTTCTTCTCAAGTTTGTGACCTACGATGGCTTCTTTTCTTTATCCACAGATTGCCAGCCACAGTGCCTGTTGAGAAAATACCTCATGACCTTTGCTTATTCCCCCATCTGGACATGACAGGTTAGTGGGCTGCGTGGAAGACTCTGTCCCTTTGCAATTCATAGCTATGAGTGAAGCCTTGCATAGCTTTGGAGGTCACTAGGAGTATATCTCAACTGTGAGTCCATTTTGTTTTTCTTTGTTACTGTTTATTAGCAGACATGCATCTGGTTCTTTGTTTGTTTTCAAATTTTGAGCTGAAGTCTGTATCTTTTCTGCTTCTTGGACAGTAACTGTAGTCAGGTCTCCTAGACTGGTGGGGAAGGATTCACACACTAGTTGGTAATTTCTCAGATTAGCCATGTGTACCACAGATTAAAATGCAGGCGAAGAAAGACTTGATAATATTATTACCAAGCATTCTTTTTGTCCACAACTTATCTCAGTTCTACTTTCATTTTTACTCTGGCAATTATTACTTACATCCACATTGGCTTTTGAATCATCCCTTAAAACCTTCTGAGTTTGAATAACTGGTTGTAAATAATAATTTTTCCAAGGTTTAAAGTCTTATTTTTTACAAAAACCTCTGAAAATACAATAGTGAGCTGCCCTTTGACCATCAAATCTGACACTATACATGTTTGTATATTAAGTAATTCTTGATTAAAAATTCTAAGCCAAAATGAAACCTGCTCTAAATTCCAGGATTAAAAGCTGTGTGCAATGAAAGAATCCTATTAGATGAAGCTATCTTTGTACTGAAGAGAGCAATTTTATGAGTAGACTTAACTAAAATTGTTTTTTTTTTTTTCTAAAGGTCTTTGGCAAGATAATCCTACCAAAAAATTTATAAGTACATGCAGCTGTGAATTTAATTATTTTGCCTATTGTATAGAATTCAAACTTCAGAATGATTTTACAAAAGCCATGTCAGCTATCCTTTCAGAGTCTATAATGGTAATTGTACTTGCTTTTTCTTACACCCACAAGGATGACATTTCTGCTTCCTACATACTGGTTTTTAGTTGACGTCTTTATGAAAAAAGGTTTCCTTGGACTGTTAAATTGCCACCCCAAGTTAGTGACAGTATTTATGCAGAAATACCACTTAGCTTGGGGTAGGAGCTGGGTGGGTTAGTTGAATGGGAGTAGGATGATTACCTAAGCCAAAAACAAAACTTCACTCTGTGTTTATAAACATCCATATATAATTGCCTCATATAATTATCTCACATTTTTTCCATGACAACTGGAGATAGAGTATGACCAACAATGTGCCGTATAAACTAAGTTGAAAGAATAATAAGGATAATGCAGATTTAAACCACTATGAGATACATTTCTGTCAGAGGACAGGGTAGTGAAGGCTGATGATGTGTGTTGCTGGCTTGGCCAGGGGACATCAGGGGCTCTGATACAGTTCCGAGAGGGCTATAAGTAGGGATTGTCACTGTAGAGAGCAATGTGGCCACATTTAGTAAGGCCCAGGCTCTGCAGACCTGTTGTTCTCCTACTTTGTCCATGTAAGAATCTCCTGTCCAGATGGAGAAATAGATTTCCACAACTGTATTTGTTCAAGTGCAGGTGACAGTTCTGAAGAATTAGCAATAACTGTGTATCTAAAGGAGAATAAGTGACTAAACAAATATATTGATGCAGTAGAGTAATATTCATAAATAAAAAATGAATAAATGTTCTAGTATTTGTTGAAAAATGTTTTATATTTTTGCCTTAAGAAATTTAAGGAAACAGACAAAATGTTGTGGAAAACCATTTATATAATATTTTTAAAATATCCCAAATAAAATATATATTACTTGTGTGCACACATATGTGTGCAATAAAGTTTACGAACTTACATGGCAGTGATAAGCACCACACTTGGGGTGGTGGTAACCTGAAGAGGGAAGTGGGAAGTCCCTCCTGTGATCCAAACACAGGGGATCTCAGCTTTATAATTGGTGTTTGTACTTGAGGTGTGTAGTGAGGGCTAGGTAGTTGTTGTCACGGTCTTAGTGTCTTTTTGAGTGTTTCAAATACTGTATAATCAACACAAAAATTTGTGAAAAATATTTTGGAAAAATAATCAATTTCTGAGATGCTGTAGTGGGTTAGGACACAAGGTTCCTTTCTCCAAAGAGGAGAATCGTCTCTTTTTATCTACTTATCTCTGACCATCTGAACTCAAGTGAGGGCCCCCAATTAAGGTTCTAATAACACTGACCCTCACCATGGTTGTGAGTTTCTAGAGTCCCATTTCATTTATAACTCAAGATTCCCTATCAATCTGGATGCTGGGCAGCTAGCTCCTTGGAATGGTTTGACGACTGAATCCGTCAAGTGTGTGTCTTGAAGGGGCCCTGAGTCCAGAGCTGTGACCTGCATTGTCTCCCCGCAGGACCTGGCAATGGGAAGTACTGTTGCCCGCAGCTCTTCATTAACCACCGGTGTTTCTCGGGCCCATATCTGAACAAGGGCCGGATTGCGGAGCTACCTCAGTCGGTGGGTCCCGGCAAGTGTGTGCTGGTTCTTAAAGAGGTAAGGTGTGCGTTCAATCACAACTGGCTTCTTTTCATGGGGCCTGCATGCTATGGGTAGACACTAGACATTTGAAGCCATTCAGTTCTCATTTACCAAGTACCTCCTTTCTCATATCTTGGGGCTGAAAGCTAGAAACACAAAGATGAAGAATGATGTCTCTACCCATGGAAAAGACAATCTAGTGCACATATTTCCTCCCATGAGTTAGTTAGGGGGAAATGTTGCACTAGGTATGAATCAGTTGCTTTGGGAAGATAGGGCATTAATTGTGTGTGGAGTGTGGGCGTTGAGCTGAAGCATCAAGGTTTCTCAAAGATGAAGCCAGTGTGGAAAGGCAAAAAGGACCTCATATATCTGACAACATTTAGCACAGAGAATGTGGCATGGACAGTTCCAGCTCTAGGTGAACTTCCACTCAAGTGGGAAAGATGGGCAGGAGAATGGAATGTGACAGAGCACCCTGGGCATAAGAACAGGAGCTGATGTGACAGCAACCTGGGGAAATAAAACAGGCACCCGGTCCAGATGCAGAACAGCATGGATAAGGTGGGAGCATCCAGAGTCTGGGGATGAAGGGTAGGGAAAGCAGGAAGGATGCCTTATAGCACCTGAGCTATGACAACCACAGGCACAGAAAGCAGCCAGGCCTGCCTTGAGTCTCATGCAGTTCTGCCTGTTGGATTTGGCCCTTCACCTACATTCTCATTTAGCAGGAAATTGGAGCTACTTTCCTTCTAATAGCTCACTTTAATATAATTAGGCTTTATTTGTAGAAGCCAGACAGTACGGATTGTGTGCATCCTGAGTGGTAAATAGATTCCATACAAGGCAGATGTGTAGCTAAGGAAAAGTGGTGATTGTGGGCAAGGGCAGGATAGTTGGCACCGCACCAGATAAAGTTAAGCAGGAAGACTTACTAGTTAACCCTGACCGTATAAATTGACACGGAACATAGACCTGCAGATAGGAAACTTGATCGAAAAAGAAATTAAGCCAGGATTAGATAAGATTTTCTGTCTCAGTATGTCATAAAACTGTCTGAGAACTGCCTTTCCTCAGTCTGCCCCAGCTCTCTGCTTGCGAATGGACCTCTGCTACATGGACATTGCCTGCCTGTGCTAGTGCCTGGTTTTGAGGGATATCTAAGGAATACAAACACTGACAGAAATGCAGTGAGTGGGTGGCTTTCTGTGAAGCTGCCTGCAAGCCTGATTCACATGGTGGGCTGCACTTACAATATGAGCTTGGTCATTATCTGCCAGCTATGTTAACAAACACCTGATCGTGGCCTTCCCCTCTCTTTAGGGGCTGACTGTTTTACTTTACTAAATGAATTTTACCTAAATCAAAAGTAGTTATCTCTGATCAGTTCTCTGATAGATGCCAGCAACCAAATTTAAAATCCATGCCAGAATAGTTTCTGATGACAAAAGTAGTTTTTTCTGATGATTGGCAAATATACACAGAAAGGAAGAAGTAAGGAGAGTGGGGGTCAGGTGCTTCAGTTCTGTGAGTGCAGAAAATAATATGTAAGTTTCACGGAGCTGCTATTTATGGTAATGCTCTTCCTTCAGTACCAGAACTTCTGCATGATGCAAATCTCCTCTTGTTTAAAGGGAACAATGTAATCGAAGCGAAGACAGAGCACGTTGCTTTTTCAGGCCATGTTTGAAATTTGAACAATTTGGTGTCTTCAGAAAATGTGAAATGAAAGTTATTCTTCCTGTGTCCAGTCTGCTACAAGTAGAGAAGTTCTGTGAATGTGGATGCAGAGCTGGTCTTAGGAAATGTCAAATTCAGGCTGAGAAGTAGTGTCCAGAACACTGTCCAAAAGCGCCTTATACTAGAGAGACGGACGTTTCTGGAAGAAGTCATGGCTAATGCATGTTCTCTAGTTTTTTCTGGGTGTTAACCTTAATGGAGTTGGAGGGATCCCAGTCAGCTGTCTATCTGGCCTGAATTCCAGAGAGGGTACATCAAGGTAAGCAAGATGACTTGGAAGAAGATGGAACAGAGTCAATGAATGGTCCATTCAAACCCAGGCAGCCTCACATGGGCCAGGGCTTGGTCTCGAGGGTTAGGTCAAGCCAGCCAATTGTACTTCGGTGTTGAAGTATTCGACAGAGGCATGAACAGTAGGACCTGACCTGTTAGGTACTAACAATGCTGATGGTATTTACTGTAAATCAAGTCTGCATACTCTGTGTGCTCACTGCCAGTTGGCACCAACCATTTCCATCCCAAATCCTCCTACTCTCACACTACCTCCAGTGTGCCAGAGACCCCAAAGAGAGACAGGCTGAATCTGTGTAGTGTCATGCATTTGGGTACATCAGGTGACAGAGTTTTATTGACCATTGTGTTCCTAGTGCCTTGTACCAAGATGATGACATTTTGCTTAATGACCTAACTGTCATTTCCTACACCACCAGGTCTACCTATCATATTTACTTCATGTACAGGATATCAGAAAAGGGATGAATGAGCCACCATGGGCTCAAGAGGAGACAAGAGAAGTGGGATTTATTTATTCAGATTAGCTGAGATAAATATTTCAGCTTTTGATGTAAACACATGAAAAAAATAAGAGAAGGCTAGCCACATGCTGCTGGTGAAAAAGCCTCTGAAAACCATACTGCAGGACAATTATGGAACCTCTAACATAATAAAGAGACTCAACAGGTGCTGGAGAGAGCATCCCAGAAGAAAATCCCAGGGTTGCTGACAGAGATTTGGGCAGCATCTGTGGTGTTTCTCAGAAGCTATTTGGTTTAAAATAGTGAAAAAGAGAAGCATATATTTTAAGTGGGGACTGTGGAACAATCCCTTTTCATGTGGTCTCCAGGCTGACACTAGTTGTGTCAGTCTGGTAGTTAGCTCCACAGCTGCAGAAATAAGCTGTCCTTGTTGGCAGCCTGGGTTCCAGAGACCAGAGAGAAACTTTTTCGAGGTAAAGCCAATGGGTTGTATACTTTCTGTTGAAAGGTGAAGACCTAACACCTGATTTTCTACTCCCCTTTTTCTTCTCTCTGGTAGATGGTAGGTTTAGAAGAAAAACACGTGAGACCTGGGAATGTAGGAAGTAATATATGGTGAACTTCTGTGAGCTTATCTCTTCCTCCCAGTATGACATCCTACGCCATTAGGTGAGATGGCCAGAAAAGCTGATGAAATCTGCAGCTTTGCAAACCATCAAGAGACTTTATGATGGGGTAGTGAGGTAGAGATGGGACTGGGTAGCACTGCTGGGTTTGCCAAGGCAAAGGCTTGTTCTTGATGAGAAAGCACAGATACTCACCTGTCAGTCACACAGTCCCACCTCACCTGCTCACTTATAATCTGTCTACTTGTCTATATGTTTACCTCTACATGCCTCTGTCAGTTGTCTATCATTATCATCTATTATTTATCTACCCACCAATCTATCAATTTCATCATTACTACCTCATCTGTCATCGTTATTATCTCTTTATTTATTGTCATCATCATCTATCATGTGCCTGTCATTAATCTCCATCTATCAACTGTGCATCCATTTAGCTGTTGAATGCATGTTAGTCACTTTGATATTCTTATCAGCAGGCTGGTTATGAAATGTAAAGGTCAGATATGACCAGTTAAGCTTCCCTAGGAGTTTAAAAAAATACATTATGATGACTCTGCAAAAAGTGACTGTGGAAATAACTACCACCTGTGAATACTGGTGTCAGATGCCAGGAACTAGTCTAGCTACTTGGGTTGTCACCATCTTCATCTTTCTGCTGCTTTGGTCTTTTTAGGTCTGCAGAATGCACTAGGCCCTGTACTGTAGCCGGGGGTCTCAGTGAGCAAGAGCTTGGTGCTTGCCTCCCTGGGTTGGCAGTCCTCCCTCCAGAGAAGAGGGGGCTTAACCCCTACCCCAGTTGGGCTGCCTCATTCCAACAAGCCCACCCAAGAACAAATACACAGGCAGAGATCTTTGCCTTGTTACATTAGTTAAATATGTGAGCCAGAGTTGTGTATTATCAAGGTCAGGAGAGTAGCTGAGGACTTTGACAAGTAAGAGGGTAGTAGTTGTCTCCTCAGAGAAGTACCCCTTTCAGGACCCTCTGCCTCATCTCCAGTCTCCATTTAACTTGAACTGTCCCTGCCAAGGCACAGGCCCACCCCTTCTCACTGGCTGACAGGTGGTAAGAGTTGGCCAGCTCCGGCTCTCCTGTCTCTGACTGAAATTCTCACAGGAAGTGTTAGCGACATAGGCCAGTCAGCCAGAAGGTGGGGTTGAAATACTGAACATAGAACCTTGGACGCAGAAAGCCAGTGCACCAGTGAGTGACCCTGGAGGATCTGGGCCCTGTGCTTTACTCTGTACTGCTTTACTTGCAAGTGAAATAGGTTTGAGCAGAGGTGATGAAGAAATCCTGGGGTTCCACAAGGCCAGTTGTCCTCTGAGCCTCAGAGACCCAGCCCTCGGTCAGATGTCTGATTGCAGATAGAGATGTGACATAACCTCCTGTCCCCCTTATCCCCAAGAGGTAAAGTGACCACTACTCTTGGTCACCTGCAGTTTTGGAATTTCAAGTGGGACCTAGCAGTTTGTAGTTTGTAGTTTATGTTGTTTGTAGTTTATGTTTCTGCCATAAGGTTGACTCACTCAGCCATTTCCCTCAGTGTTTATTTTGATTAATATGTTTGTTTTCCACATTTGGAAAGTGTGATGAGAGTTTTTAAATTTCTCTTTCTCTCCCTGTCTTTCGTTTTTTCTTTCCTTTCTATCTGAGCATTCCTCCTGCCCCCTGCCCCGACTGCCTCTTTTTAACTTTTACTTAAAAGCAAGAAAGGCCTTCATGTGGAAAAACCAGAGTCAGCAGTCCAAAGCATCCCTCACTGATTGTGGGCTGACGTTGTACTGCTCTCCTTCAAAGCAGCTCCATGCTTAGCAGTCAGGTGGAGACAGGTTGGTGGAGAGGCAGTAGGAATCCTGGTCTCATATCAGAAGCTTCCTTCAAGTAACACTG